TTTTGTGACAAAGGCAAGCTGTTGAAATGTGCAGGCTTCTTTTCCAGATTACATTCATTTAGCTACTTTAAACTCCATCTAAATGTAAACTCTTGGATTTCAGAAAGCAAATGACAAAAGCAACCACCAGTTTAAATGTCCTATTTTTGTTTATACAAATTACAATTGCAATATGGCACTGTTTCCCTTTTAAATAGTATCTGATCACTTGTGCAGTCTCTTACTTCACCACGAAATACAGGGTAAAAAGGCAGAGCATGTATTTTGATTAAATGTCTCTTAAAAGTTTGCATGTGTGAAGTCATGGACAGTGATGGATAAAGGCACGTGGATATTACTGACACCTCTGAGCATCAGAGCCAACTCCTGGTAATATACCAAACTGGAGGACTAAACAGAAGCTTTCGAAGCTGATGTCCCTTGCAGCTTTCAGGAACTACTTAATGGGAGTTTTCAGGTCTGTTAACAGACCTCTCACAGCACCAATTCAGCTTCTCCATCCTTATTAATCCAGGAACCATACCTGCCTGGACCCTTAAAAATGAAAGACTGTAGGATGCTGTCCACTTTTCTCTTCTAGAGTTTCCCACCTTTACAGCAGAATCAGCAGAACAAAAACCTCCCCCTGTCTATTTTAGTATAAAATACTGTCTTGGCATAAACCCATCTTCATCCCCAAGTTAAGATGCCTCCTCTGCCTTATGCTCCTTCTGAGTGGGACAGAGAGTTGGTAATGGCAGTAGCAAATATATGTCCTTGGATACTCTCCTTTGGACTAATAGGACCATTGGTGACTGAACAGAATGACTTGCAAATAACTAGCAAGTGACCAGAAGTCAGTCTTTCATTTTTAAATCATTTTGGGAAGGAGAAAGGGAGCAGCAGCAGTCTAGAGTGGATTTGATTCAACTCATAGATTTTATTCTCTGTTACGGATGGCAGCTTTGTACAGTATTTTATGGCACAGCATACTGTCTCATGAGGTTGCTGTAATTTCAGCAGAAATTCTTCTGTGTGATGTGGTTTTTACTTTGTCTATAAATATAATAGCAAGAACTTCAGCTACATCATGGACAGATTTCAAACGGCTCATCTTTTTTCAATTAGTTTATTCTTTTTATTGTCACGATTATTCATTTTCTCTTACGTGGAAAAAAGCTACGTTATTTTAGGGAGTGTCTTTTACTTCTTGAATTCTTGCTGTAGTTCATTCCCTTTTGTTTCTGCTCTGACTTCTTCCAAAACGGTGGTATTTTTTCTTTTCTTATCTTTCTGCTCTAAGTAGTAAGTACCACATTTTGGATTAAAAAGCTCCACCAATATTTGCATCTGTGATGTTACCATTATATGACAACGTTACTGATAAGTGTCATTGTTCCTTAAGCTCCAAACAATCTGATCTGTAGATATGAAAGACTGTGTTAGTTTTAGGTTTTTAAGAAACCAGCCTTATTGTATGAATGTGAATCAATTATTAATTGCATTAAAAGGTTTTGACCTAAACAGGGAAAATGGAATTGCAGAAATGAATAAATTGGAGCTTCAAGATGGAATCAAGTCTTCAGATTTGAATTGGTGGATTCTTTGCAAGGAGACATTCGATATTCTTTGTAAAGAGTACAATAAAATAAAGTGCCAGTGAGGATGACAAAGGTTCTAACACACTTGCATCTTTGGTTTTCTGGAAATATCATGACAAAGGCACCAGCAGTCTAATTTCAGCAGTATTTCATGTTCTGCGGTATCTCAAACTTCATACAAGAAGCCTTCAAGTCAATTTGTGGCATGGAAATAGATGGTAATGTCTGTCATGTTGTGGATAGGTCTAGCTGTCTTGCTTATACTATTCTCCTTTGGCAAGATGATCAAGCTGACAGATTCAAAAAGTCAGAGGTCAGCAGGATTAATTAATATGCACATCTGACCCTATAAATCATAAAGCATTATGTGTCATCCACTTAGTCTTTAAGTATGGTACTAAAGAAGTACAAAATGTGTGTCTGAAAAAACAATCTGGATTATAGAAGTGAAAAGGTACAATATTAAGCACATCTTTGGTTGTTCTGGTGGTTAGCTCCCTTACAATTAAAACTTACTTCGTTTTGAATATGACTTTTGTCTTAACTTTGCAGCTGTTAGTTTTGTTACACTATTAATTTTGTTGTGCTTTTCTATGCTAAACTTTTAAAACAGCTAGTATTCTTTGATTATTTGAACACCGGAGTCTTCATGTACACAGCTCAATCTTTTTAATATTTAAAGCAGTTTAGGTTCTCTGATTCATATTATGAGAAATTTTTTCCTCCTTTCAAATAACTTCTGTGGCTCTTCTCTGTACCCTGTCCAATTTTTCAACATACTTTTAAAAATGTGGATACCGGAACAGGATGCAGCATTCCAGTGTCCCTTGCAAAGGTAAGATTACCACCTTACACCTATCGTGTCCATATGTCCAAAGGAATGTATAAGTGCTTTTTCTCCCTTTTTTTTGTCATGGCATCACATGTTGAGATGCTTACCTACTGTAATTACGAAGTTCTTCTGAGTTATTTCTTCTAGGATTTTCTCTCTGTTCTGTAGGTCATTCCTGTAGGTGGCAAATGTACTCTGGTAGTAAAATACACAACCTGACCTTGGGTTGAACTACCTTTTTTTTAATTATTCAAGAGCATAGCTGCTCTCTCTTCAGTATTTAGCTTCAGCATTCTTGGTGACATACATATGTTTACTCTAGAGATATGATGAAAATGTTGAATACTATTGAGTCTGGTATCTGTTGTCATATATAGTGAGTCTTCCCCTCTAGTGAAAAAAGGTTTGTACAGATGAGAACCACAGCTCTTGCGGGCAACCCCAGAAGCACAGTTAGAGCTGCTAAACTCAGAGTTGGAGAGGAGGGTACTTGAAGAAATTGTGAAATGCCATTTATTTTCTAATATCTCTCTTTCTTAAATTTATCTCTGCAAGGCAAGAAATTACAGAATTAAAATTGCAGTAACTATTTAATAAAATTCCAATGTTGTTTGATGCCGTAAGTACCAGAAAACATCTATTTCAGTGAGCTTGAACAGAGATAGAAAGTATCTCTGTAGTTATACACTGGCAGGTAAAAAGATGGTAGGAGTTTGAGACCCACAATTTGCTTTTGTTTCCTATTTGGTGAGACAGTTTGGGTCTTACTGGGCTCATGAAATCTGAACACGTGGGTGGAAATAGCAATGAGCAATGGAAGCCTCTCAGATTTCTTGGGAAAGTCCCCCTTTTAGATGAGGATCAGGCCACAGTGATGCATCATGCAGTTTATCCCCAGGTACACTCAATTTTGATAACCAGCTGTTGCTGAGTCAGTAGCCTCAAAATAGTTTTCCCTGTGAATAACACAGTGCCAGAAACTCTGTTTTTACAATTCCTTTCTAAAGCATTCTCAAATAATGGCTAGGAAAACAGATGTTTTGGGGGTGGCTAGATGACAATGGTCTTTTCAAAGTCTTTGTGCTATGTAGCTGGAACATAGTCATGGGATTCATACCCAGGGAGTAAGTTTAGATTTATATCTTCAGTTTTCTAAGCCTGACTACTTACAGCACTTTACAAGAAGCACTTTTGGGGGGGAGGGCAGAAATTGTGCTTGTAGTAAGTGGAGGAGCGGGGACAGGAAGTGAGCCTGACTTGCATGTGAAAGAAGAGAGTCAAGTAGAACAAATTTGTCCTTGAATTCTAATTAAAGAGTGGTGATGGGATTTTCTTTTAATGGTGGGACTTGGCATGTTCAGTGTCTTTTTGTTGTTGTTTTTTTTTTTTTTCTTTAACTCAGAACCGTAAGTTGCACAGAAAACTTGTCTACAGGCTTTCTTTCAATCTCTTTTGGCTATGGTAGTATTCACCTCTGACTGATCTCATGTTCCTTCAGGGTATTTGTGCTGAAGTGCCATTCCCTGATTCCTCCACCCCCTTCCTTGCTCCCTGATTTCACCTATTCATTCAGTTATCATAGTAGTCTGTTATTTCCTACATCTCTGCAATGTATGTATAGTGCAGTGTACATACGTATCAAATGTTTCAAAAAATTGTGAAAGATGCCCTGAGTAACATACTGAACAGCTAGTTCCTAATGAATCTAGCACTTTACTACTTCTATTATTTTAAAGTCCTAACTTTTGAATTTTTTTCTTCGAGTCTGATCAGATAGTCTTGTATTGACAGAATTATTCTTGTGCTAATAGCTGCCATTCAGAATTCTTACTTATGTTCCAATGATACGTTAATGACCCTGCTTTTTGTAAGGCATGGCAGCATATTCATCTGAATACGAAGTGACATATGCAGCATATGTATAACTGAATTGCATGTTGCCTGTCATTTTTCTGTGCTTGGAGCAAAGCAAGAATTTTCCCTGAATGTAGGTGCCCCTGGGGTGTTGCTGTGCATACGTTCTAAAATGTCTGCTTGAAACATCAACTTTATGCAATAAATACGTAAAAAATCCCTGTATTCTCACAATATGGGCAGCTGTTACAGAAATAGCGTAGGACATGCAGTTTTCTACAATAAAGGCCTCCAAGAATTTGTAGTAAAATTCATGACTGTTACGTGGGTAGTGCATGGAGCACTGTTGTGATGTGAAAAATAACAAAGGGTTCCTGGAGTGCTAAAGCTTGATATTCAGGTTACTTCAGCATCAGCTGAGGTAGAACAGCTTTACTCATTGTTTATGCTGACAGTACTTTTCTAATAAACCCAGTAGAAATTGAGGTAACGTGTCCAGAATCTGCACTGGTGCTTTATATGTACTTGCTATTTGACTTCAGTTCACAGACTAACGCACACACATGCTACATTTCCTGTGTAATAATCTTTGCCTTCTCTTGTGTAACTGATAAAGTGCATAGAAAGTGGGAAAGTATTGCTACAGTTCTTGTTCTAACCTTCTATTTCATCACTTCTAATAAAAGCAAGCAAAGAATCATTGTTTAGTAATGCTAATGAATTTATTTTTTTAGGATCTGGTCAACACTGGACTCAGCACTTTCTTCTTTTTCATTGCCTCTGTAGTACTTGCTGCTTTAAACCATAAAACTGGAGCAGAAATTGCTGCTGTGGTAAGAATTTGAACTTCTTATATATGACTTATCTTCTATTAAAACTAAGAATAACTTTTCCCTCATGTTCATTGAATACTTCTGTTGCCTTTGCCACCACAATTTACTCCTAATTTTACAGTTGGCTATATGCTAAATTCTGATTTAGAAAGTATTGATATCCTTTGACTTGTTTGTCTTTAGGCTTGAGGCAAGAACAAACAGAAAAATTACTTGCAGAGAACACTTTAACAGTTGAACTTGCCTAGCTTAGATGATACTGCTCTATATTGCAAGCCTACGGAAAAGATAGAGACAAATTCACAAGAAATTGGAGCCGCTTACACATAATTTGCTGAATTCTTCTTGCTCACTACAGATCACTTTTGTTCTGTGGAGTCAGTATAGTAGTACTTCAAGATTTTAAATCTGCAACAGTAAGGTCAAGCAAATTGATTTTGTGCTTGTACTCCCCCCCCCCCCCCCCCCCCCCCCCCGACACTGAAAATCACACAACAGTTCTGCAGAAGCATATAGGAAGAACTGCAAATTAGCTCCTTCTCCAGGCTGATGGTCTGGACTGGTCATCTGTCCTCTTGTCATTTACTAGCTATTACATGCACCCTGAGGAATGAACTGTTGGATGAAGAGCTGTTTTCTTCCTTACAAGAGGTTCTTCTATTGAAGTTGCATTGCAGGATTTAATTGTCATGTTTGTAGACAGAGAACTTTGTTTTCTGGGATCATTGATCTTAGTTGCTTTTGCAGATTCTCTAGTTCATTGAAGAAGAAAAACAACATCAATTTTACAGGCCATGAAGATTTGTCAGTGCAAATGAAGTAGAAAACCAAGTTTCTGAGGAATTTGTTGTGAAACTACTATTGTTCTTGTTTTCAAAAATTGTCTTTGACAATTCTTTCTACTTCTTGTAGATATTTGGTTTCTTGGCAATGGCAGTGTATGCTGTGAACACATATTTAGCTATTAAAAAGTGGCGAATGAACAGCAGACAACAAAGTAGTCGGCAGACCAGTGATTACATACGTGCTCGGACAGAATCCAGAGAAGTAGATCATCGCCCTGAGATTCAGCGTCTGGATGCATGAAAGCAACATTCAAATGGGACTGCAAAGGGAAAAGAAGTGCTTAACTCCCTCATGGAATAAAGGGTTTTTTCTTTATTTAAGGAAGAAAAGGAAGATCAGACGGTGGCAAAGAATGCCCAGCCCTACATATGTGCAGAGATGCATTGAGTCAGCTGTTGTCATGAAGGCAGTAAATATTGGTCATTCAAAAGCAAGATCCATTTAAGACGTCCACATATATATACATATATTATATATCTTATATAATATATAATATATATGTTTTGCAGTATGTTACTGTTTTGGATTAGCTGCACAGTACTTTCTTTCCCTCTCCCAAGTGCAAGCTCTGAATATACGTGTTCTGCCACTGTTTCTTCGTCTATCGTAAACACTAAGACCAGCACTACATTGCTTGGTTAATGTAAGAAAGAAATCCACCAAAAGTAAATTTAATACACGCAAAAAGGAAGTGAGGGGCAAATAGCAATAACTTTAGCCATGTATCGTGTCCAACAAACTCTCTGTATCCATCCTTATGCGGCCTCAGCCGTGCAGCTCAATTCTCATCCGCAAGATCTCCTGCAGTTTTACTGTTAGTGCACTGACATAGGTGAAATGAACAGCTGTTTCGCATTTTTTGGTTGATGGATATAGTGTTGAGATAGTTACCCTATGGGTGACTCTGAAATTGCCATATTCAGTTCATGCATGGCCTTGGCCAGATCTGAACTTGTGCAAAATTAGCATGTTTACTGAATGGTCACCATAATGCATCAAGTGCAAGTATGTGGTTTTCTGCTAATGTTGGGATACGTTCTTTTTTTCATTCCGAAATGGGAAAAGAAACGTGCTTGGGAGGCAGGGTGGAGAAAAGGGGGTTGAGGGGCACAGTAGAGAAAGAAGGGGTTGTCATCCAATAGACTTGCATTCCAGTCATGGCTTTTTTTCCCTGTTTTTTGTTGTGTTTTTTTTTTTTTAAGGTTCAACCTTTCTGAGAAGCCTTGGGTAAGCAAGAACTAGGAAAAAATTACAATGTGCTTATAAAGTGTTTCTAAGGTTGCAATATTGTGATTCATGTAAGAAATATTTTCCATTCTGGAGGGTTGTTTCTTCTAAAATTAAAACTGTTGGTAGTAGGTAAAACTGATTTTTTTTAAATTTTTAATTGGGTGTTTCTGCAAATTTTTTTCCTACTAACTGAAGTTTTCTTATTTTAATTGTACTTCCAGTGAAGAGAGGATATTTTCTCTACTCAGAACTTGAATTCTGCAGTAATCAGTTAGATAATATCATAATGTTATTAGGAAGATGTCCCTTGATATTTTTCTGTTTTTTTGATTGGTGTTTTTAGCTATGTAATCCATTATTTGGCATATGCATGCCTGCATGTTACATGAAGAAAATGTGTAGGGGAGAAGATCTCTAGAGCTGAATTCCTTTCTGGTGTAAGCCAATGAAATCTTTGAAATTAGCGCAACTGTATGCCATGTATGCCTGAATTTATCTCACATTTGACTTGAACGCTTTTTGCATTGTGTTCTTATGTAGCTGTATTCGTAAGTGGATGAATGCAGTTAACTGGAGTCTTAAGAACAAATGGCAATACGTTGCAACAGGTCACTTTTAAATATGAAAAACAGGTTATACCAAACAAAAGATCAGTAGAAGTGCCTGGGCTTTTTTAATACTGGAGGGAACTGGGATAGTGACGGGTGTGAACCTAATGCTGCAATGTTTGAATCAAGCAACAGAGAATTATTTTGACACGTGAAAAACCGGTGACAAAACTGATGTTTTTTCATTTTCAATTTACTGATGTCTACAGTGCATTTTACCTTAGTGGCTAAAATGGAGATTAAAATTCAGAAAGAGTTACTAATGAGGTTAAAGAAAACTTGCATTTTCGTAATGAGTAATGATTTACCAGTTACTAGTAACATTTTATGGTGCTTCATTGAAAGTTAATGCCATCACCTTGGCACAGTTTTCTTGAAGCAAGAGAAATTGCATGTGATTAGCTAAGAAAAGAATTTGGTCCCAGACATGTCTGGCTCACACTATAGACATCTATCTATTCCCTAGAAATAAATTTTCTAGCTAGGTGTGTTTTAAAACACCAGTTTAAAAAAAATCGAACCATATAAGCCAACCTCTGTTGTTGGGTTTAGAACACAGACATTTTATTGAGGTGGTGTCTCACCAGGATTACTGTGTCTCATGAAAAGTAAATGACAGTTCCATGTTCAGTGTGATATGAAATAACAAAGTTTATTATCGCCAGTACAGTTGTTACAACCCTGCTGTTTTTCAGCACTCTGCCTAGTATTGGCAAAGTTTGCAAGGAGAGTTTATGGATATTGTCAGTTATTAAAAGAGACTTTTTAAAAGTAGCACAAGCATATCTAGACTGGAATTGTAAACTGGCATTAAAGCAGATTGTATAAAGATTGTTTGAAAACAAACAAACCAAAACCACACCAAAAAACCAAAACCAACCCCCCCTACTCAAATACAGAATATTGTCCTCCAGAAGATCCATGCTTTTAGAGTGGAACCCTCATCTGAAATCAAGAAATAGAAGTTAGGTGATGCATAGCAAAGGCTTTTCATTAGGTGTGTATCCTGTTTGCTGGTTAGTGACAGGGACTGAAATGGTGTGTACGTAAGAGAACGCCCCGTTCCTCTCTTGTCCTCCCTGTGCTGATTCTGTTTTTTCAGAGGTGTGGGAGGTCTCATGCGTCTGTAAGTTTATGAATTTGGTATCTTTCAAATCCTTACACCTTTCCTTACCTAGAAACAGGATAACTTCACCAAGCTTTTTCTGGAGTGAGATCATGAAAAGCTTTTGTTATAGCTGGAATGACAAATGCAGAATGATGCAGTTACACTTCTAATACAGTGTAATACTTCATCACGTAGTATAGTATACCTGAATGACCTTGAGTGCTTTTACATGTGAAATAAGTTTTCTTGAGCTGAGAACAGTATGCCATTATTTATTACTTACATCATGACTTGAGCTTGTCACAGCTTTCAGGGTAGAATTCAAAGAGAATATTAATTTAAAAAATACTATCTGATACACTTTGTAAAACAGAAAAACAAATGTAAATTTGTAATTTCCTTATTTTGGGGACCAAAGATGATTTTAGTATTGTACAGTATATACTTTCTAAAAATCTAAGTTAAGCATTTATTACTCTACAGAGACATTATTTACTATTTGGATTATATAGAAGGGAAATAAAGTAGCTGTGAGAGACAACTAAATTTGAAACATTAACATCCGTGTATATGATACATACATGGTTGATTTCCCCCCACCTTAATTTTACACGGTGTATTGAAGAGGTGGTAATATTTTAAGACTGTTACCCAAGCTGCAGTCATCATAACAAAAGCTCTGAAGGAAGAAAATAGGGTAGAAAGTTTAAATTTTTTTTTTTTTTTGAAACTTGCTTAAATTGCTTCTCCCAGCCAGTTAGTCTTGCTTGTAATTGCTGATCATATAGGGATAATTTCTTTTAGTCCTTGAGAGTCCTGTTTAGCTCCATAAAGGGACTCAAAACCCACTGTAAATAAAACTAAATTAGAGCTAAACAGTTGAACCTTGTAGGAACGGGATGCATGAAACTGTAATGGTTCTGATTAGTCCTCTTTCGTCAGACTAAGCCCTCAGATATGCAATCTCCATGTATTTCTGCATGTAGAAATGACGGTAAACTTTGAAACTGTACACAGACATCAAAAGATTAATTAAAGCATAAGATATAATTGGGGCAACAGCATAACTGTTGTATAGTGTTGTAAGAATATATGTTTTCCTCTTAATGCTATGTATGCTCAGTTTTGTCAGCCTTAGTCAAGTTTATCATACATTCCTATAATGATGTGCAAACTGCCTACAATAGAAGTTTCTAAAACCATAATTAAGAACTGATTTGACAGTTTCATCGCTTCTTAGTAAAGTTGATTCCTTCTTACTCTCCATTTGTTCCTTTCATTTCATATATTCATGCCTCATCTATCTTACGTTTTAATATTTAATTTTTGTTAAGCCTTCTTCATTGATCTGTATAGTGTCTGCTTCAATATAAGGAAGATAAGAATACTGTGTACAACGTCCTTTTGCTTAAGATGGTACTCTTCCCTTTTATGTTAGCTTATGATGCTTGGGCTGGATGTGCTGGGGGAAATTTTATTCTTTCCCCTAGGACTTCAGAAGCTAGCTGGTATACTGCATATGTTCCTGTGTAAGCTTTCTGGTAGGATCCATATGCATAGAGGTTCAGAGGATTAGAGATTCATCTACCTCTGCGTTTTTTGAGAGACAAGGTACTGACTCTAGAGATTTGATGCCTATATTTCAGTCTGTGCTATTCATCATGGGCTTTGTATTCAGAAGCATGGCATCAGCAATGAGCTGTGCCTTGGAAGCAGCTTCTCATCTTTTGCTTATAAGATGACTCTTACATGTGAATTTAAATAAAATCAGTAATGTGGGATGCTTCTTCATAGGCTTTGTCACGTGTTTCACTGTGCATCTCATGATATGCTCTATAATTGTTTTATCTGTTTGTATTTCATTGTTGATTCTAGAAAGAAGAGGGAGAAACTGGGGAAAGTTTCCAGTCTTCCCTAAGATAATCTTATTTTACACCCCACCCACCCCCACGAATTATTTTGTACCATAAGATGATTGCCCCTTCCTAACACAGCAGACTTACTGGTTCTTAAAGTGCTGTGGAACAAGCAGGAGAATTGATCTGGTACAAGCTGCATGTGGACTGTTATGAGTGGATTAACCACTAGTTTTCCATGAACTTTAAGGTCCCTAAACAAATTTGGTATTTGTCACCTTTGTGCTATTTTGGGGATGTGCAGGCACAGCAAATGCTTATCTAATATGTGGTTTTATTAATGCAACCCTTTTTACCCCCATCTTCTGTAGTCCTTGTTCTATATCTGTTATTTTCTTGTCTCATGACAACTTTGAAAACATTCCTATTTGTTCTCTTTTGTGAAAACAAAACAAACAACCCAACAACCCAAAATAAGTAAGAATAATGTTTTTAGGGCATAATTAAAAAACCCCCAAACTTAATAGCAATTCAAATAGTGTAGAAGAGAATATCCTCTCTCCTGCTCAGATGAGATACTGAACAGCTTTGTACATGAAAATCAAAGCATAAACAACAGGTCTTTTTTCCTGTTTTTTTTCCAGAGCTGACAGCTCTGGAGCCAAACATCTTCAGCAGGTATTTAGGATAAACAAAAAGGCACAATCTGATAATGAATTTGAGATGTAATAAAGGGCGAGAAGGAGAGAGAAACCCAAACTTGATGCTTAATAACCTAGTGCTTTCAAAATTATATGTGAACATTAATAATCCCCAACTGCAGAAGGAAGGATTGCTTCCGCACTTTGTAGTGGAGGAGAGACACACACCTTGAACCAGTAGTAAAAGTAGGTGTAGAAGTGTTTGCTCCTAACGCTGGGGCCGTGCTGCCTCTGTAATACAGTTGGAGAGATTCTACACCGACGTTGTTAATGGTGCATCTTAAAACCTGAGGTATGTTGACAAATCGGTGTGATTATCAAATAACTTCTGCTCAGCTGAAGTATAGTGCTTGGTTCACAGAGACCTGCAGGATGTAGATGCTTGCATCAGAAGGGCTCTATGTATCTAGAAGAAAGGATAGTTTCAGACTAATTTCTGCTCAGTCCCACTGAAATGAATAAAGCTGTCACATAGCATTTCTGAAAATCGTGTACTTAGTTCCTGCTGTTTATAGCACAAAATAACAGATTGTTTGGATGGCCAACAAAGCTCAAAAAGACTGTGAGATAGAGATGTGTATGTGAATTTTAATGGCAACAAAAGCAATAATTTAGA